CGGAAGTTAAACACCAGAAGGATGCTCTCTAGAGTGACAAGCTTGCTGTGGTTATGCAAGCTGGGAGAAGAAAAATAACTTGTTTCTTACTCCTTATGAATTCTTTTTTGAGACAGGGTCTTATGTAGCCCCGGCTGGCCTGGAACTCCTGCCTCAACCTCCCAACCTCTCAAGTGCTGGAATTACAAGTGTCTTCCTCATGAATTCTTAGGTATCTACAAGCACCTGTCTTCCTGATCCTGGAAACATGCTTTGGTTAAATTAGGTACCTTGCAGTTCTGTCAAGTTAACACAAAATTAACCACCTAGCAACTTATCAGTTGTCTTCAAATGAACTCAGGGTCCCAAGTAAGAAGTTAATCAAGTGTCATTGCTGACCGTCAAGTGGCCCTCAGGTGAACTTGGTGCTCTGGGAGACTAAGAGGACATTTGGTTGTCATTTTGCCTAACTTTCAAGTTTGGGATACTTTTTTCTTCTTCTTCTTATTTTTTAAAATATTTGTATTTTTGTGTGTATGAGTGTTTGGCCTGTCTGTATGTGAGTGCACAACTGCATACCATGCCAGAGGAGGCCAGAAGAGGGCATCAGATTCCCAGTTACAGAGTTGTTAGCCACCTCGTGGGTGCTGGGAACAGAATTTGGGTCCTCTGCAGGAGCAGTCAGTGCTCTTACCTGCTGAGCCATCTCTCTAGCTCAGATACATCTTCTCATCTTGATTGTCCGTACATAGTCCCACAGATAATGACCAAACCTGTCTGGGCAGAGGCACCAGAACCTCTTTATTGGCTTGTTGCAATGCTGAGGCTGATGGCCCTCTGCCATGTAAGTCCTCTGCATCTGTTCCCAGACTTCTCAACATCTAGGAGAGTGGTAACTCATACAACACCTCCCCCCAGTTGGCCTTTGCAGCTTCTTCTTTGGTGTCTGGAATTGAAACTTAGTGATTGCATAGGAGTGTATGGCTTAAACAAAACAAAACAAAACAAAACAAAACAAAACGTGTGTATGAATGTTTTTCCTGCATGTATGTAGGTATACCGTATACACACAATGCCTGTGGAGTCCAGAGGGGGACATTGCATCCCCTGGAACTGGAATTACAGATAGTTGTTACTCATCATGTATATGCTGGGAACTGAACGTAGGTCTTCTACAACAGCCAGGGCTCTTAACTGTTGAGCCGTCTCTCTAGCCCATGTCTGGCTTTTTGATGACTGATGCTATTAGAGAAGAAAGGCTAATTCATACTTCTTTGGCAACTCAAAATTGTGCTTTTAAACCCACTAGTGACATTACTTATGGAGAGCTGTATGAACAAAAGAAGCGAAACAGGTTAGAGCCCAGTTTTATGATCCCTCTTTTCAAGGCACCTGTTTCATTCTAGAGCTCTTAAGAACTGAGGCCTCCAGGAGCCCTGAGTTACTGGGCTGAGAGACCAGTAACACTGAAATGTTTTATAATACACCCTTGGAACAATATGTGTTGCTCTACCCCACGCCCTGCCGAGCAGCAAACCTGGCTTCTCCTGTCAGCCTCACACTTTCTTGCTGTGAGGCCTTGTCCTTTGACTTTCCTTCCCTCTCTCCGACACTCCAAATAATTCAGATTTTCACTGTTAACTAATCTTTTTATTTTTCATTTATGTATGTGTGTGTCCTTCGGTGCACATGTGTGCAGGTGCCTGCAGAGGACAGATGAGGGTGTCAGACGCCCCTGGAGCTGGAATTATAGGTGGTTGTGCTGAGAACCAAACTTCAGTCCTCTACAAGAGCAGGAAGTACTCTGTATTAGTTACTTTTCTGTTGCTGTGAGAAAACACCATGACCATGACAACTTATAGAAGGAAGAGTTTATTTGGTCCCAGGGTTCATTTTTGGTTTTTGTTTGTTTTTGGTCTTTTTGAGACAGGGTCTTCCTATAGCCCCAGATGGCCTGGAACTCTTTATGTCTATATAGTTCAGGCTGGTCTTGAACTCACAGAGATCTGCCTGCCTCTGCCTCCCAAGTGCTAGGACTAAAGACATGCGCCACCATGCCCAGCCCAGGGTTAATTTTTAAAGCAGTCACACATTCTCAATGCTCAAACTCAAAAGTTAAGAATGGGGAGTTAGAGAGATGGCTCAGTCATTAAGAGTATTGGCTGCTCTTGCAGAGGACCTGGGTTTGGTTCCCAGCACCCACATGGCAGATAACAACAGTCTGTAATTCCAGTTCCAGAGGATCTGATGCCCTCTTCTGACTTCTATGGGCTTTGCACAACATGGGTGCACTTACATACATGCAGACAATACACTCATACACACACACACACACACACACACACACACACACACACACACACACACGTTAACAAGGGGAGTACAGTAAAAAGTTTCCCAGCCAGTTTCCTTCCTTGAAGGCAAACATTGCTCACAGTTTCTATTTAACAAGATTTTTGCCCCTCCAAACTTCTTTTTCAAACTTTCCAATGCTTAGTGACTATTTAGAAGTGCTGACCTCACTCTGAGCTAACTATGGTGATGAAACAATGCATTTTTTGGAGACCTGTGCAGGAGCATGGCTGTTCCCATAGTCCTTTGTCACTGTGGAAAGTATCCTGGAGAAGCGGGAGCGAAGCACAGGAGACTGGGCCGTTGCTATGGTTATATCAAACCACTCCACTGAGGTTGCTACTCCCTTTCATTGTCTTCAGATGCTGTGACCATGGAGTCCAGCTCATTCCTGTCTATCTCTGGATAGACTGCCCCGGGTGGGCAGGTTCAGACACACAGGCCCACCTCAGACAAGGGCAGGTGAGACCTTACACTTCCATCCCTGGTTCCTGGCTGCTGAGTCCACACAGTTCCCACTGTCACACTCTGAGCTGCAGTGAAGGCTGCAGGACCACATGCAGCTTATCTGGCTGACAGCTAAATGCCTTTGGAGAGGATGAGGGAACGGTAAGATGTCACCTCACAGGAAGAAACAGCGAGCTTGCTGAAGACAGAGAAGCAGACTGTGAGGAACATTTTTGCCTTCAACACTTAACAGAGAGTGGTTACTGAATTCAGACAGCGTCCTATGTACCACTCTGCAGCCCCACAATCACAGGGTAGCTGGCATCCACATTTTGCGGTTGAGATTTCAGCCTAGAAGTTACACCATTTGGGTCACACAGCTGGGACCTCAGTTGCCTCTCAGCAATACCAAGGTCTTCCATCCCCAGGACAAATGTTTCCTAAAAATGAGGTGGGGCTGGGTTTACTAAATAAACCTATCTTAGTCTATCTTCTGTTGCTTTAACAGAATGCCAGAGACTGGTTAGTTTATAAAGAAAGGTTTATTTGGCTCATGGTTCTGAAGGGGCCCCAGACCATGGCAGCAGTATCTATAGCTCTGCTGGTGAGGGCCTTGTGCTGTGTCATAGCAGAGGGAAGCAGGTGTAAGGGGTGGGAGTGTGCTCATTGCTTTTTTTCTTTGCAATGACAAAATACCAGACAGAAATTAAGGGAAGAAAGACCTATTTTGTTCAAGGTTTCAGCCCACCAGAGCAGTGGTCAAGCAGGGTAGTACACACCTTGCTGGACCAGGGAGTAGGGAGGGGTTAATGCTGGCTCAGCTTGCTTTCTCCTCTCTCCACTTTCCTTCCATGCAGCCTCTAATCGATGGGATGGAGCTACCAAATTCAGGGTGGGTCTCCCCCATCAGTTAATTCTCTCTGATACACCCAGTTATACCTTGCTATCTCCTAGGTGATTCAAATCCAGTCATATCGACTAGGATTAGCCATCACAGAAGAGAAAACATGAAGGACAGGTTTATTTTATAACAACCTGCTTTCCTGACAATGAAGTCATCTCCATAAGTTCAGACCTGATCTCTGAAAGGACTAACCCACTACCAAGAAAGGCCTTATCTCTCATCACCCAATAGTTTGTGTGTGTGTGTGTGTGTGTGTGTGTGTGTGTGCAGTAGGCCAGAGGACAACCTCATGTGTCATTCCTCAGATCCTTTAAGGATCTGAAGACCTTTAAGGTCCCTCACTGGCCTGGAATTTACCAGGTAGGCTGGCTGGTCAGTGAGCCCCCGGGATCTGCCTGTCTCCACCTCCCCAGTGTGGGATTATAGGCATGTGTGGCTATGCCCAGTTTAAAATATCTTAGTAAACTCCATTTCTGGGGGCTGGCAGATGACTCAGTTGGTAAAGCGCTTGCTATACAATCATGAGAATCTGAATTTGGATCCCCGGAACCCATGTAAAACCTGGGTGGTGGCATGGGTATATAATCCCACAATGATCCCAACACTGGGGAGGCAGAGACAGGAGGATCCCTGGGGCTAGCTGCCAGCTAGTCTAGCCAAATTGGTGAGTTCATGTTCAGTGGGAGACCCTGTCTTAAAAAGTAATAAGGTGGAGCTGGAGAGATGGCTCAGTGGCTAAGAGCATGGGCAGTTCTTGCAGAGGACCTAGGTTCAGTTCCCAGCACCCATTGACAACTCCAGTTCCAGGGGATGGGATGCCCTTTTCTAGCCTCAGTGGGCATGGTATGACCCAGGTACACTTACAAACATGGAGGCAAAACACTCATACACATAAAATAAATAAATAAATAAAAAGGTGGAACGTAGGGAAGACATTGGCCTCCATGTGCATACACACCTGACATATGCACACGCACACAAAAATAACAACAAACCCTCTAACTTTGCTTCCTCCTGGTGTGTCCTGAAATTATTTTCTGCAGCAATGTCAAGAATCTCAGCTTCACCTGAGTGGAGATCTCTGAGAACGCCTCAGGCTGCCACAGGTGGAGCTGTGTCTCTGGCCCACTATTTCCAACACAGTGAGACTTGAAAATGTGTAGGAGTGAGAACATAAGTTCAGGTTGGCCTGGAACTCACAACCCTCCTTCCCCAGCCTCCTAGAGCTGGGATTACAGATGTGCACCACCACAGCTAGCTAGGACTCATTTTTATTTCAAAATCAAAACATCTGCTTCCTATAGTGCATGGCATCAAATAAAGAGGGAACAGACTGCAGACCAAGCCTGCCATCCTGTGCAAAAACTCTTAGTGGACTATGGCGAGGACAGTTGCTCAGCCCACGTGGAGCCTGTCACAAGAAACAGACGGGGGGAACTGGGGCCTTTGTGGAATTGGCACAAGCAGTTGGAGCATTTAAACAACCTGATATGCATTAATTTTGTATATCTGTTTATTTAAAAAAAGTATAGGACATGAATATGCTATTTAAAATGTCTCTAACATTAAATAAATTATTTCCAGGTAAGCATTGAAGATCCACAGATTGGTCCTTTAAGCTGTACTGAGGTCACAGCCGATGGACCTTGGCTTGTTTCTATGGAAGACTTTCCCTTCTATGCAGTGAAAACAGCACTCAGGATTAGCTCTGCCTGAGCTGGCCTAGCTCACAGGCCCAGCTGATGGATGTGAGGGCTGCCTGGGCATCAGCAAAACCACGGTGGAAGGACACTGGGCTGGCACACAGTGAGAACCAACACATAAATTTGATTGCTTCCCCATGCCCACCCTTCCTATGTCAATGCCACTAAACCAGTAGAGGTGGCACCTGACACACAGTCAAGGGACTTTTCCAGGGTGACTAATGTCCTATGAGACAGCCTTGCTTGGCCATAGATGCCTCTAAAGATAGGCAAGGCCAGGAAACTCTCCAGAGAGTGTTGGAGAGCACAGTTCTCTGACACCCTGATTTTAGCTCAGTCAACCCTATTTTGGGAATTCTGATCTCCAGAACTGTTAAGTCATGTTTCTTTTAAGCCACCAAAGGCTGTGGTGCAGTAACACCAGGAAACTGACACAGACGGCCACTGTCTGGTATATATTTGAGCCACACAACACACACAGCAGCTCAAGGAAATTTCTCTTATTTCTAGGACTAGAGGACAAGGGGACTCATGATTAATTCTGCATTCTGCAGGGGACAGCCATAGGCAGCCGGGGGAACTGGGAAGTCTCTTACCAACGTGGGTATGTGTCAGTCCTACACACACATACACATCCTTTGCTGGCTGGGCAGATGGCCAATCTGTCACCTTGCAGGGGACAGGTGCATGTTTATCTAGTGACTGGCATAAAACAAAACAGCCCTCCAAACCAGTTAGCACAAGTCATTACTATGCCAGGTAAAGAAGGGAAGGTCTCATGTAGCCCAGGCTGACCTCCAAGTCACTATATACTCGAGGATGACTTAGAACTTCTGATCTACCTGCCTCTGCCTCCCTAGTGCTAGGATTATAGGCATGCACCATCATGCCTGGCTTTAACAGATGGACTCAGGGCTTTGTGCATATTAGGCAGGCACAAACTGAACGACACCCCTAGCTCCACATTCAGCCTCTTAAATACATAGGACCACCAAATAAATAATAATAGTAAAAAGGCACATTGTCAGTTTCACCCTGGGGACTCTAGTGAGAGCAGAGACCTTGGGTGGCGCTCCTAGGAATCGGCTGTCTCTATCACTTGAAATCCAGGGTTCCTGGTAAACCTGTCTCAGTGACCCATATCTCTCTGATGTCGCCATGGCTGGTCCCCAGCACAACCTGAGTTTAGGAGGATGTGAGCTGCGAGGATGGCATTCAGATGAGAACCATCAATGGGACAAGTCCACTGGGAAACCGGGATCTGGTGGCATCTAGCAAAACCCACTCTTCCCTCTAGATGATTTCTCTTCTGTTGGGACACTTTTGCATGTCTCAGTGCCCTGTGTCATGCACCTCAGTGAAGTCTTTGGAATGGGTCCAGGTTATTCTTCCGGCTCCACTGGCCCCTGGGTGTTGAGCAAGGGGATGTCTGTCTCCCTGTTGCCTACCTCCCCCTTGTTGGGGTGTGAGAAGGTGTAGGGTTCGTTCTCAGATTCAGGAGGGCTGCTAGGGGCTGGCTCATCTGCAGCAAACTTTGCAGTTGGGGTCCTGAAGAATATAGGGGGTGGGGAGGGGGGGCAGTCCCCCATGGCGCCCTGGAAGGGCCGGTACGTGTCCACCTCTGGCTGGAGGAAGGATTGGCCAGAGTCTTCTAGCAGGTGCCCGTACACCATGGTGTCATCGATGACTGCGTACACATGGGAATCATTGTCCTTTCGTCCTTTCTGGAACTTTTGTGGCTGGGGGATCTGGGTGTTGATATTACCATTGTAGATGCCCACAGCAGGGCCCTTATTGACCTTCTTTTTCCTGTTCATAGAAAGGGAACATGGCAAAAGTGAAAACCAGCAGCAGTATTAGATGAGTTACACGTGGCTTGGGATTCCTTTGTAATCTAACCACGTCTTGCCTGAGTCCCTGAAGCCACTTAGTATTTGAAACTGATACTGTGCCAGGGAACACTCAGAAGCAAACTGCCTTTGTCTCTGGTTTATAAGGTGGAAACTGAGGAATCAAGATGGAAGATGAGGTTTAGATTCATTTTAACAAATCTTCCTTTGATAAATTGCAGGAGCCAATGGTAGAAACACATGGCACTCCCTCTCCCTCTTTCTTACCAGAAATGGGGATACCCTAGTCCTTCTAAACCATGTCAGCTCAGCATGCCCAGGCCAGCCTTCTAGAATGGTCAGTACTTCTCTGTACTAATGCTTCTTCCTCTCTTGCATAGGTCAAAGCTTTATTGGCTTGACTTCAAACAGTAATTGCCTAGACTCAGGATTCTCTGCTTGAGCTGGGGATGGAACAGCTCGTCATTAGCTGGATGGCCCTGACCCTGTCTCTTCAGCATGGGAAAGAGCTAAAGTGCAGACAATATCCAGGCTACAGTGTTCAGTAGTAACACCATTATCTTTGGGTGTGTTCTGTTCTCTGGCACTTGGCTGGGGTCAGGAGTTAGCATGTCCCACCTTGGAACACAAGGCTTTGCCCTCATCTCAGTGAGCCAGGCATCAGGAGCATGGATAATAGCTGACTCAAAGGGAGGATGTCAGCACAATTAGCATAATGGGAGCAGAATGCAGAGGCTGGCAGCTCCTGGACTGTGCTTTTGTGAGGAAAACAATCCATCTGATGCTGACCCCAGCCTCCTATGTGAGGCCTTAAACACACTCCCTTCTTTCATATCCCCCACAGTGCCTGACTTGTCCCTCTGCCCAATGGATAGGGGAAAAGACCATTTTGCCCCTGGTTTATCTCTAGCACCTTACAAGGTCCTAGTGCTCAGGAGACCCTCAACAAATACCTACAAAAGGAGTAAGTTCTACAGCACTGTTTCCCCTTGTCCTTACACAGAACTTGTCAACCCTCTGATAACAACTTGGGCCCAGGGGCTTCATACAAACATGTTAGAGAAAGGCCTCACATAGTCAAATACCACAGCAACATCCATGCTGGCAAGTCTGCTGGCGAGTCTCAGGTCAATACTGGAGCAGTTTGGAGAGGGAGGCATAGCTGGATCCCTCCTCTCAAGCAACCCCCACCTCCACCCCAGTGAGGCACCTGGAGCTTAGTGTTAATAATTAATTAATACCATGTATCTCAACTAAATGGGACATGCTGTGCGCCCCAGACAAGAAAGTCTCCTGAGAGGAACAACACATTGTTTTCACATTCAAAGAGGTCTTTTCCCCATGTGATATATATAGCTACATTTCAGAAAGCAAAGGCTTCCTGGACCTGCTGTGGAGAGTCAGGCCTTCCTCAGCAGTCTGATATTTTTGGACAGTTCTATTATATGAAAGGAATTTGCCCAAGGCTATGGTGAACTTAAAAAAAAAAAAAAAAAAGTTTTGGGCTGGAGAGATGGCTCGGTGGTCACTGTTCTTGCAGAAGACCTGGGTTCACATCCCAGCACCCACATGGCAGCTAACAACTGTCCGTAACTCCAGTTCCAGGGAGTTATGAGGAGACAAGCTCTTCTGTCCTCCTCGGGCATTGCACAACATGGGTGCCCTTACCTACATGCAGGCAATACACACATACACATAAAATAAAAATAATAAATAGAACATTAAAAAAAAGTTTTATTTTTGAAGTGAGTCAGTAAGTGCCTGCTGCACAAGAATGAGGGGCCCCTGAAAAAGCCAGGTGTGGTACAGCATGCCTGAAATCCCAGTGCTGGGGAGGAGGAGAGAGGCAGATCCTGGGGACTCGCTGACCAACCGGGCTACCCTACTTGCTGAGTTCCAGGCCAACAAGAGACCCTGTCTCAAACGACAAGCTGGATAGGGCTGGGAAGACTGTTCAGTGGTGAAGGTGTGCACGTGTACACACATATAAAAAATAAAATGTAATTAAAAATTTAAAACAAGGTGGATGACTCCTGAAGATGTCCTCTGGCCTCCACACACTGTACACATGTGCACTAGAGCTGCATCCCTGCACACCTCCACTCACAAAAAGTTGTTTGTTTGCTTTCTGTAAAGTTCAAATCATGTGCTGGGCATGGCGGCACACGCCTTTAACCCCAGCACTTGGGAGGCAGAGGCAGGCGAATCTTTGTGAGTTCAAGGCCAGCCTGGCCTACATAGTGAGTTCCAGGACAGCTGGGGGTACAGGGAGGCCCCGTCTCCAAAAGACCAAAAAAAAAAAAAAAAAAAAAAAGTTCAAATCATGCTAAAGTAAACACAGATCTCGTCTCTTTCACAAGAAATAGGAGCAGAACTGATGAAGTCCGAGGTCACAGTGGACTCCACCTAAAAAGACATTTCCTTTGAGACTACAGAAGCTGCTGTCCTGTGAGGGAGGGGATAAGTGGTTAACCTGGTATGCTTCCCCTTAGGCCCAGGACTGCCTTTTGGCTCTGGCCTGCAGTCCCATAGATAAGCACACAGCAGACAGTTTGTTTAGGAAGCTATATAACAAGCCAGGGCAACAGTCTGTTTTTTCTCAAAGTGGCAGAGGGAGTGGTTCATGCCAAGATCACTTCTGATACCATCAGCCTAATAAGCAAATAACAAGGGCCGGGATGTCACAATGTGTGTGTGTGTGTGTGTGTGTGTGTGTGTGTGCGCGCGCGCGCGCGTGTGTGCGTGTGTGTGTGTGTGTGTGTGTGTGTGTGTGTGTGTGTGTGTTTGTTTATGCCCCCAGGTATAGGATTTTTTTTCCCTCTGAAACTATAAGTCAGGCTTGGTAAGATTAATAACATCAATCTTTGGGCGGAAACTGGGAAGCCAAAAAACACCAACACCTATTGACATATAAATATACTGGGTGTGGTAGTCCACACCTGTAATCATAGCACCCAGGAAGTAGAAGAAAGAGGATCAGAAATTCAAAGCAGCCTGGGATATATAAGACCCTATATCAAGCTATCCATCCATCCATCCATCCATCCATCCATCCATCCATCCATCCAACCATCAATCAAAGTCTGTGTGATCCAAGGAGGTATCAAATCAGCCAAAGACAGCTATAGAGTTTCTACCTACCTCTTTTTCACAAAGCAGATGATGAGTCCCAGGGCAAACAGAAGCAGAGCTCCACCTCCCACTGCACCGATGATGACAGCCAGATCTGTGAGCAGAGACAGAGAGACAGAGGAGGGACAGGAGAGTTAGCACAAGGATGAACCCAAGATGGCTCCCCTCAGCTCCCTTCCCTCCTGAATCAAGCTGGACTATGGAAGGTGACTGGGCCACTTCTGAGTCTGACCTTTATATATATAAGCTGATGCTTTCTCTATTTGAGGAAACCTGACACTGTGTAAGAAGTCTGACTATGCAGAGGCCACCCAAGTAGGTCACATGGAAACTCCATGAAGATAAAACTCAATCTAGATATGAGAGAGAACCAAGGCCCCAGGTGCTTGTCTCCAGTTGAACCGTGCCATCTGTGTTGTCTGATGCATATGCACGAACCACTGTGCTGTTCAAATTTTTGACCCTCAGTTGTGAGCAAACAAAAGTTACTGTCTAAGCCAATAAATGTGGTGTAGTTTTCATGTAGCACTTGGATACATGAAACATGTGGAAGACCTGCCAGATCCACCTAATGGCTATTCTTGTCCTCCACCGGGTGTGTCTTCTGGTCACAGACTGTCTTAGAGAAGGAAGAGCAGAGAGCGGAGGAGAAAACGGACAAACATCAGAAGTGAAGGAATGAAGGACAGGGTTGTTGCATGAGTTGTCCTTTCTCACAGCTGCACAAAAGAAAGAGCACAGATCTGAGAGGAAACTGCTTTAGGAATCCTTGCCTGCTCACCAAGAAACAAAAGGAGAGGTTCAGAGGAAACAAATAGAAATAAATGACAGAGAAGGAAAGTAAGACAGGAAGACAGCCCAAACGGTAACTCTAGTGCCTGTGGTTCTCTCTCTCTTCTCTCTCTCTCTCTCTCTCTCTCTCTCTCTCTCTCTCTTTTCCCCATCCTTCACTCCCTCCCTTTCTTGAGGTGCTGAAGCTATATTTCAGCCCTTCTGAGCTCCACACTGCTAACTAGATGTGGGTTCTAGGTGAACATTCAGTCTCCCTGAGCACCAGTCAGGGAAGCTCGAGAAGAAACGGCCTCCATAGTTCCAACACCTCAAACTCTGAGGAACAGGGGATGTCCTCAGGCTTCTTGAGGCCTGCACTGACTAAGGGCCTTTTGGGACTTCACCGCTTCAGTGGACAAAATAAAAACAGAGGCACCACTTATCCTATCACACTTTCCAGGTCCCCACATTTTAGTCCCCATCACTGAATCCCAGTGATACTTTGTCATAGGAATAAAAAGACATGCCCTATGTCAGAGAGTTTAAGAGTGAAGGGGGCAGGTCCTGGAGAGATGGCTCAGAAATTAAGAGCACTGGCTGCTTTCGCAGAAGACCGTGGTTTGAATCCCAGCACCCACATGGTGGCTAACAACCGTCTGAAACTTCAGTTCTATGGGATCTCTTGACCTCTTCTGTCCTCCGTGGGCACTGTGTGACATGGGTGCACTTACACATATGCAAGCATAACACTCAAACACATTGAAAAAAAAAAAAAGAGTAAAGAACAGTAGTAGATAGATTAAAAAAAAAAAAAAGCCAACAAAAACCCAGGTGGGGGGCTGGAGAGATGGCTCAGCGGTTAATAACACTGACTATTCTTGCAGAAGACCAGGGTTTGAATCCCAGCACCCACATGGCAGCTAACAACTGTCCATAACTCCAGTTCCAGGGGATCCGACAGTCTCTTCTGTTCTCCGCAGGCATTGGACGACATGGGTGCGCTTACCTACATGCAGGCAATATACACATAAAATTAAAAAAAAAAAATCCAGGTGGGCCAAATGAATGTGGAAAAGGCATCAAGGGACCTTGCATGCTTCCTCTGGTGTCCTGTACACCAGGGCCAGCTATATGGTGGAGAGTACTTTAGCTAACCTGTAGATGCCCACAGATGAATGAGTCTGATAAGCCCAGCTCAAAGCAGACTTCCCCAGCCAATGTATGAACAATGATAAATGGTACGTTAAGCCATTAACTTCTGGAGTGTTTTGTTATGCAGTAGCATGGATGCAACAGCTGACTGATACAAGGACAGCTATCACTCAATCTGTTTTCTGACTTGCCTCCAAAGCTTGTTCCTTGTGAATTTTCAGTGAGTGAAACAGAAATAGAAATAAGGTCCTTACCTACAGTCCTTGGGGTAAGAGTCACCCAGAAGAGCAGGTCCAGTTGCTTGCCGCTCACAGGACTGCAGTTGGAGATGTTGACCCAGAAGCTGTGGCGATGGAAACTTGGCTTAGGGAGCACTTCCTCCTCCAGGCTAAAGATCTCCTCCATTCGGGTCCGCTGTTCCTGGATGATCATGAATGCCCGTCCTGACTGGCAGACCACACCAGTGCGCTCCTTGAAGAAGGTCAGGCAGGCCACCTGGTCACTGGGCACGCTGATGTTCCAGGACACAGAGGAAAGGGCAGGCAGGCCCCGGTCCCAGTTAGGGGTCCTCAGGTAGATCTTGTTTTTTGTGTCTGGGGTCACTGTGAAAATGCCTTCCTCTGCAAGGGAAGGGAAAAGAACCCAGATAGATGCTTCACTCATCAAAATGGATAGAAAAGGGAGAAGTGGAGGGGATTCTAAACCATCTGTCCTAGCACCCTCCAACAGAATGTTCTGCCACAATGCTGTCACTGTCCAGCAGAGTAGCCACTAGCTGGGCACTTCCTGTGTGCCCACTGTGATGGGGTACTATAATCTGGATCTTAAATAGCTCCAAAGGCTCAGTCACCAGACCACAGCACTACTGGGAAGTGGTGGAACTCCTAAGAGGTAAGGCCTAGTACAAGGAGTCATATTATTGGTGGAAGAACTTTTAGAAGGGGAGCTTGGTACAAGGAGGTTAAGTCACTGGGGGCACACTCGTGAAGGGGCTGTTGGGAGCCTGTCTCTCTTCACTCCCTTTTTGCTTCCTGGTGGCCATGAGGTGAGCAGCCCCCTCCCACCATATACTCCTCCTATGATGAACTACTCAACACAGGTCCAAAACCAACTGGACCTACCAAGGATGGCCTTCAGTCTGAAGCTGTGAATCAAGATAAACCTTTTCTGCCTTGAAGTTCATTATCTCATAGCGGGAAGCTAACACACCTACTAACCATATCTTTCATTTATTTAATGTTGATTAAGTTTACATGTGGTTATTATCAGTGAGGGATCAATCCTGGTCAGACTAGGTGCCTGGGTCTTTTCAGACAAACAAAACATCACAGCAATTTGCCAAATGAGTAGTTTTCTCAGTTTCCTTTCAGAAATGTTCCCAGTATAACAAATGCTCACCTCTTGCCCTCCTCTGCGGGGGACTAGCACATATACATATCTGCCTCAGAGAACAAAAAAGCTTTAGGTGTGGAGAATAATCCTAAAATTGCAAAGTTTAAAGGGCTTCCAGCATGCCCAGAGGTCTGCTCTGTGCCTCCAGGTGAGACTCCATACTCTGCAATGTCAAGAACGAGCCTGGTTTTCAAAGGCTCCTCATTATGCCTCTGAGAACAAAGTCAACCTGAAATAAAAGTCTCAGTCAATATAAAAACGGCTTCTAATTTAACATAACTATTTTTTGAGGAATGTGTAATGGTGACTGTGACTTTTAGAATCAACAGCATAGAGGTCGCACTGGTGAGCCATTTAGACCTCATTTACTGCTCAGAACACCGTAGACCTTAATCTTGCCTCTGCACTGCCAGAGAACAGGACCCTTACACTAAAGACAGCCACTTGTCTCCCAATGAATCCTCCTGTGCTCTCCATGGTGCAGTCTGAATGGTTAAAGCATAATCATTAAGACCTTTTCCATTAAAGAAGTTTTTTGTTACCACTTTAACAACCCAGGGCTGGGGAATATTTGGTTATTTCTCACATAGACCCTGTCTGTTTCCAGAAAAGAGTAGAACTGGATTCTTTGTTCTGCTGCCAACCTTTGCTACCCACTGTCAGAAACGCTTTTCTCATTTCTAAGCTCTGGAATTTTCCATGGCAGGTTGTTAGGAATGTCAGGATTAGGACTTCATAAATTTCTTGTGTAAGGACCTAGTCAATCCTTCTTTCTCTCCAAACTGGCAACTTTTTTTTTTGGTCTTTTGAAACAGGGTCTCCCTGTAGCCCCAGCTGTCCTGGAACTCACTATATAGACCAGGCTGGCCTTGAACTCACAGAGATCCTCCTGCCTCTGCCTCCCAAGTGCTGGGACAAACTGGCAACTTTGTTAAAGGGCTCTGTCCTGAAAACTTGGTCCCCAGCTTGTGATGATGTTTAGGAAGGTTCTAGAACCTTTAGGAGGTAGCGACTTGCTGGAAGAAGTAGGTCACTGGAGTTTTATAGCCCAGCCTCACTTCTGGTCCACTGTAAGTTTCCTAAGTGAAGACACAACATAACCAACTGCCTCTGCCCCTGCTGCCATGGCTTCCCCACCGTGATGAACTGTACTCCCAAACTCCGAGCCAAAATAAACACTTTCTTCCTTAAATTACTTCTTGCCAGGTATTTGGTCTCTGCAACAAGTAACTAATCCAGCTTTAAAAGATGCAATGAAGGCTAAACAAAAAAGACTAAGTGGGTCTAGTGAATGAGGGTCCCCTTACCTTTGAAATACGGTATGAAGAACACAGTCAGGACCTGCCTGGAGACCTCTTGTTGGAAATTGGGGGCAAAGGTGCGCAGTGTCACTGTGGCGTTCTGCTTGACCTGGATCTGCTCGATGGAGCCTCCGGGGCAGAAGGAGCCAAAGTACAGGTCCTGGCTGGGCGAGGTACTAAGCACACGGTAGCCGAGGCTGGTGTTGCAGGCCCTCTCGTGTGTGTGCTGCTGCAGCTTCTGAGCTGGCACCAACCTTAGGCTGAGCCTGTCCTTGGGTACAAGCAGCTTCCAGGAGAAGTCATGCAACTGGATGGGCAGCTGGAGGATGTCAGCGGGCACCTGCAGGAGGTAGGGCTTCCTAGAGCAGTAGCCGTAGTCCAGGCAGCCTGGAAAAGAGAGCTGGTGGTACTCGAGTGTAGGGGAGACCAGACCACATCCTTTCTGGCATGCAGGCCGGCCTGAGGCTGGAAGTCTGGGATGCCCTGCTTCTCCTTTGGTCTTTCCCTTCCACTCTGCCCTCCGCTAGCTACTCTGACTCCTTTACTAGCACCCCTCCCCCTTTATTGTCTACTAACCCGACAGCCAAGCTCCTGTAAGTACTTAAGACAGAAACACCCTCTTCTTGTTTGTATCTTCCTGTGTCTGGGATGCTAAGTGTCATGTGGGCAGGACACAGGTCTCCATCCCAACATGCCAACAATTCTGTGTCATGGTTAGAGCTAAGTAGTGTTGTGGACACCTTGCGTTGTGCCCTATCACTACCTAATGGCGTGGCTTCATGCTGCCTCAGCTCCTGTGGCCTCAGCTCCTGCATACTGGGCCCTAAGCTACATGTCAGAGACCTTGGTGACCCCAGGAGGAAGTGACAATGCATAAGACAGGATCTCATTTATCTGAGGTTGGCCTTGAAACTGCACAGCCATGGAATGCTTGGTTTTTGAGGTGCTAGGAATTAGGCCAGGGCCTAATGCGTATTAGGTAAGCATTCTACCAACTGAGTTACATCTGCATTCCCCAGGCTAAGTTCTTGGCTTCAAGGCTCTTCATCTTATGCAGAGAAGACAAGGAGGCAGGGAGTGGGAAGTGGAGGCATGGGGATGGGGTGGTGAGGAGGGGAGAGCCTATGCAGCCTGAAACCCCAGACTGGCTAAGGTGCTATCCTGGGCTTCTGGGAAAGGGGCATGGCCAGGGCTTGTGGATAAGGGCATACTTAGGGTTTTCTCCGCATTCACCCACAGGCGCGTCAGGTCGTCACACAAGAAGGAGATCTTGTGTTTGGAGCCAGCTGTGAGAGTAACATTGGTACTGCAGATCCGAGACTCTAGACACACAAAGCACCCGGGAACAAATCTGCGGCCCTGTTTGGTCTGTCTTGGCTCTATGGTGAGTGACATGGTTCGCTCTTGACTTAGGTCGATCATGTAGGTTTTATCTGAAACCACAAGCAGAGATGAGGTGTGAAGTGTGGATGGGCAGCAACCAACTGAGATAAACAAAGTGAAGAGAATGACAGAGGGATGTGTGTGTGTGTGTGTGTGTGTGTGTGTGTGTGTGTGTTTGGTATGTGTGGTGTGTGAGTCTGTGAACTTTCCTATGCAGGTGAGTGTGGAGGTCAGAGGCTGATGTTGGGTGTCTTCCTCAATGGCTTCTCCACATTACTGTTATTATTATTATTATTATTTTATTATTTTGGTCTTTTTGAAATAGGGTCTCCCTGTAGCCACAGCTGGCCTAGACCTCATTATGAAAACCAGGTTGGCCTCAGTCTCACAGAGCTCCATCTGCCTCTGCCTCTCAAGTGTAGGGGTTAAAGGCACGGGCCACCATACCTGGCAATTTTATTTTTTTAAAAAAAAATTTATTTTATGTGTATGAGTGTTTTGCCTGTGTGTATGTCAATGCACCATGTACATGTAATGCCTACAGAGGTCAGAAGGGGGCACTGGATACCCTGGAACTGGAGTTACAGATGGCTATTAGCTGTCATATGGGTGCTGGGAACCAAATTCAGATCCACTGCAAGAGCAGCCAGTGCTCTTAACCACAGAGCCATCTCTATAGTCCCTCAACCTTTTTTTTTTTTTTTTTTTTTTTGAGACAGGGTCTTTCACTGCACCTGGAAATCAAGGCTTTTGGCCAGCAAGCCTCTGCTTGTCTCTGCCTCCTGAGTGCTGGGGTTACAGATATGGGTACATAGGTGCTGGGATTTTGAACTCAGGTCCTCATGCTTACTCACAAGCACTTTACCCACTGAGCCATCTCCCCATGCCTGGAAAAAGTTCTTTTTTGTTTTTAATTAAAGCAACATAATAACTTCAGAAGAAAGTAAAAAAGAAAAACAATGGCTGGGTGTGGTGGTGCACGTCTTTAATCCAGTACTCGGCAGGCAGATCTCTGTGAGTTTGAGGCCAGCCTGGTCTACATAGTGAGTTCCAGGCCAGCTGGAGCTACAGGGAGACCCTGCCTCAAAAAGACCAAAAAAAAAAAAAAAAAAAGAGAAAAACAATGGCGCTCACTCTAGTGAAAGCTAAGAGATACTGTTATAAAAGTTGCATAAGTGTGAAGTGTAAGAGTAAAAACCTGGAAAGATGAAAATATCTGACAACAGGGTCCACAAACACTAAGGGACACCTTAGGGAAATGATTGAGTTGATCACAGAAAAGGAGACTTCAATGTCCAAATATTCTAAATATGTGGTTATATTTTGTATCTAATATATTTAGTGTCACTTGTAATTAGAGAAACACAAATTAAAACATGGTGCTTTCCCTACTCAGACAGGGGAAGTGCTGGGTAGGCTATAGGGAAACAGGATTCCACATGTTGGTAAGAACCTGGAACAGCCCACTGTGGTGTGTTAGCAATCAGTCTAAGAATGAGAACAGGACAGCCCTGCAGCCCCAATATCACATGGGACACGGAGAACTAGACACCACCGGACTCTGGGACAGGCTACTAACTGTGGGACAGTCACGAATTTTGGAATATAATGCAGAACGATGGCGATCTAAAAGCCTCGATATGGTACTAAGCAAATGGCAAGCCATAGAATACTTCAGAGTATGCGCAAGATACTTGCCCTGTATCTTCAGTGGCATCATTACTCCATATTTGTGCTATGGTGACCATGTCAACAACACTGAAACACAGTGTTACACAGTGGGTCTACTCTGCATACTGCCATTGCGATTCCTTTCTTGTAGCATTTCAAGTCACTTGAAAGGCTGGCTTGAAACTCACAAGAGACCCACCTGCCTCTTCCTCCTGAGTGTTGGGATTAAAGGCATGCACCACCATGTCCGGCTTTATTGTCGATTTCTATCACTTCCTCAGGTTCTGTGTACTTTTTTATAATTTTACCTCCCAGCTTCACTCCACTTGCATAAATCTCAATACATTTGAGAGCATCAGGTGTTTCTTCACTTCTCCATTCTGAGGAAATCTCTGCAGAGCCTGACAAGGGCTCTGGTGTAAAGGGGCTGCTCTTGAGGCCTCATTTTCTCTTCTCCCCCTTCCCAACATTCTTCTTTTGTCTTTTGCTTATGTCTCTTTTTATTTAGTCTAGAATTTTTTTTCCTTTTCCACTTCCCTGTTTTCTTCCTTAATTTCTTTCAGTTATTATTTCTAATTTTGCTCTCAATTCCTAACCTCACAGCATACTGTTGGAGGCTGGAGAGATGGTTCAGTGGTTAAGAATACTTGCTGCTCTTGCAAAGAACATGAGCTTGGTTTCTAGTATCCACATTGGGCAGCTCATAACTACCTGTAGTTCCAACTCTAGGGTATCCAATGACTTTGGCTTTCATGTGTACCTGTACTCCTGTGCATATACCACCTCTTCCACATACACATAATTAAAAATAAAATAAAACAAAATGAAAAATTTCAATGAGTCAAAAACAAACAACAACAACAACAAAAACCCAAACCCCAAAGCATCACTAATAGACTAGACCAAACTGATAAAAGACTATCAGGAATAGGAAAAAATAAAGGGTCAAGGAAATACATTTAGACACCAGTTAAGAAAAAAAAAATTAACATGATCATAACTTTCAAGATCTTTGGGATATGATCAAGAGACAAAACCTAAGAATCTATGGGGTAGAAGAATGAGCTGAGATACAAACTAAAGGCGGGCAGGGGAGATGGTCAACGGGTAAAGGTGCTTGCCACCAAGCTTAATAACCTGAGTTTGATCCCCCAAACCCACATGATGGAAGGAGAGACCAACTTCTGCAAGTTGTTCCCTGACCTCCACATATGTGCTGTGGCATGCGTGAACCCACAAGTACATACAAACAAAATAAATAAATAAACATAAAAAACCCCAAACAACCTAAGGCACAGAGAATCTATTCAATGTAATTATAGCAAAATTTTCCTCATGTCTAGGGAAGGAAATGGACATTAAAAACAAGAGCCATTTAGAGCCCCAAATAGACACGACCAGAGAAGAGCTCTTCAAGACATATTATAGTCAAGATGTCAAAAGTACAAACAACAACAAAACCCCCAAAACCAATATTAGAAGCTACAAGAGAAAAAAATGCCAACTGACCTGCAAAGGCAAACACATCAGAACAACATGGACCTTGCAACAAAACCCTCAAGGAGAGGAAAGCATGGGTTGACACATGTCAAGCCCAACAAACATTATGATATCCAGAAAAAAGTTGTCTTCTGAACTGGTGGAAAATAGACATTTCAAGACAAACACAAACTAAAGTAATTCATGACCACTAAGTCAGCATTAGAAGATACTTAAAGAAACCCTAAACACAGAGGAGGAAGGAAGACAGTCTTCAATCATGAGCACACAGGAAGAAATACATCCCATGACAGGAATGGATGAACAAAGGCAAACTAGGAAGGAATCCATTATTTCCAACTCAGTAAACCATCAACCCCCTAATACTAATGGGGGAGAAAGACAAAAACGAACAATTCAATCCAACAGGATAACAACCAATAAGACTAGAGGAATTGGCAAACCTCTCTCAGTAGTGTCCTTAAATGTAAATAGTGACAATTCTCTAATTAAGGCACACAGACTAGCTGACTAGATTAAAAACAACATCCAACTATTTGTTGTCTCCAAGACATATAAGTCACAACTAGTAAAACACACAGATTAAGAATTGAAGGATAGAGCCAGGCGTGGAGGCGCACACCTTTAGTCCCAGCACTTGGGAGGCACACAGGCGGGCCAGATCTCTGTGAAATTGAGGCCAACCTGGTCTACACAGTGAGTTTCAGGCCAGCTGGGGCCACAGGGAGACCCTGTCTCAAAGAGTTAAAGGATAGTTGTTAATACTATATGCAAATGAAAACCAAAAGCAAGATCTCACATCTCTTCTGACATCTGTTAACGTAGATTTCATGGAAAAGTGAGATGAGATAGGCTACTGAATATTAGTGATGAGAATGAGCCATCAAGAAAATGCAACAATTATAAATGTGAATGCACCAAACACTGGGGCTCCTGATTTTATAAAACAAGCACTAAAGAACATAACAAGGTCACATAGGTCCTGATACAATAGTAGTTGGTGACCTTAGTACCACACTGTCATTAACAGATAGGTCATTCAGACTAAAGATAACAAAGAAACCTCAGAGTTAATCTGCACCAAGGATCAAATGAACTTATCATTTACAGAATACCATATCCAACAGTTACTGAATACACACTTGTCTTAGCAGCCCAAAGAACTTTCTCTAAAACAGATTACATTTTAGGCCTGGAGACATAGCTCAGTGGTAGAGCACTTGCCATGTTCAATACTTAGCACCACATGCATTTACAGGTAGACTGATTTTCACTTGGGCATGGCAGCACATGAGCATATTCCCAGCACTTGGGAGGCAGAAGCAGGAAGATTGCTACAAGTCTGAGAACAGTTTGGTCTACATAACAAGCTCCAGGCCAGCCAGAGCTACATAGTGAGACTTGTTGGGAAAAAAAAGGAAATACTTCATATTTTAAGTCACAAAACAAGTCATAATAAATACAAAAGAATCAAAATAATTTCCCGTGACTTATCAGATCATAGTGGAATAAAACTAGAATCCAATATCAAGAAACTATATAAACACAAGGAGACTGAACAATACACTTTTGAATGACTAATGGTTCATTGAAGAAATCAGTGAGGAAATGAAAACATTCCAAGAATGAGATGAAAGCACAAGAAAGCAGAACTTTTGGGACACAGCCAAAGCAGTTCACAGAGGAATTTATAGTCATGAATGCTTACATAAAAAAAAAACAAAAAAACCCAGAGGGGCCAGAGCAGTTAAAAGCACTGGCTGATCTTGTAGAGGACCCGGGTTTGATTCCCAGCACCCACATGGTGGCTAACAACCTTCTGTAACTCCAGTTCCAGAAGATCGATGCCCTCTTCTGTCCTCTGACTATTGATGGTGATGACATTCTGGTTCCTACGGCAGGGTCAAGACATGAGGTCTACAAGGCAACCTTTCAATGTCCTCATTAAGAACAGTCTAGCACTGAATGCAGGAGTGTGCTTGCTTCTTGCTTGAGCTAAAACAAGCATCTGCCAGTGAGCCTGCCTCATTATCTAGTACCCCACTGCCTGGGGTACTAGAGCATGGTCCAGAGTCCCTATGTCCTGGCTGCTGCGTATAAGAAACAGGCAGTCACCTCACCCAGGCAACACAAGGTGCAGATGTAGGGAGAGGAGGCTGTGGCTTACTCACTGCTTTCATTCTGTGGACGTTGGACCAGGACCTGAAACTGCAGTCGCAGGATCCCCGGGCTCTGGGCATCCTGATCACAGCCCTGCAGTGAGAGGTTGAAGTTCCCAGCCATGTTCCCAGGCTGCTTGTCCTCCAGCTTGAACACCTCAGGGTTGGTGGTGGAGCCTGGGATGTAGTATTCCACCCGCTCCTCCTTCCTCTCGCAGTTGGAGACGTTGAAGTTGAGGAAGGAAACACTGGCCCGCAGGTGTGCAGGGATGATGAACTGCCAGGTCATAAGCTCATCCTCAGGGAAGCCTCCTGGGTAATTGGCAGACATCAGGGTTGCTGAGCCTTCACCCTCAAATACAGACTCGATAATGCACAGGCCTGTTGGGACGGATCCAAAACAGAAAGAAAGGAGGCACTGACATGGTATCTGTCCTGGTAGTCCAAGGGCAAGGGCAGGTGTGCCAGTGAAAAATGCAATCCTGGAGTGGGGCTGCAAGTGGCATTTACACTCAGGGTGGGGATTAGGAATGGAAAGTCATCAGTGGTATATGAGCAAATGTTTAATAATGGACCCATGTGGGGAAAAAGCCAATTTATTCAGTGAGTCCATTTCCTTGGGGTTAACATAGAACCCAGGGCTGGGTTCAAGCTTCCAAAGGATGTGAATGTGGAGCTGGGCAGTGTACTGATGCAACACATACACCTACCACCAGGAGCACAGGCCGTGGCGAAATGTAGCAAAATCAGAAGGAAGTGATTAGTTTTGAGATTTAGTTCTGTGATGGCTAATCTCAACTGTCAATTTAACAGGCCCAGGAAGAAGCAGCTTCAACTAAAGAACTTCCTCCATCAGACTGGCTTGTGGGCATTTTGTGGGGCATTTTATTGATTGCTAATTGATTCAGGAAGGCCCAGCCCACTGTGGGTGGTATCATCCCTTTATAATGGGCTTGGGCTGTTTAAGAAAGGGAACTAAGGGCTGGGTGTGATAGTGCACACCTTTAATCCTAGCACTAGGGAGGAGAGGCAGGAGGATCTCTGTGAGTTCAAAGAGAGCCAGGGCTACATAGTGAGGCTCTACCTCAAACAAATGAAAAAGGTGGGTGTGTGTAGGGGGTGGGGGGGCAGTAGCTGTGCAAGTCGGAGGAAGCAAGCCAGTCCACAGCACTGCTCTGTGGGCTCTGCTTCAAGCTCCTGACTTCAGTTCCTGTCTTGGCTTCTTTCAATGATAGACTATTAAGTGTAAGATGATAAACCCTTTCCTTCCCAAGTTGGTTTTGGTTAGTGTTTCCCTGCAAATTAGGACAATTACCTTTGTTTCTAAAGCAGTTTGAGGCCTATACTAATATGGCTAGTGGGACTTGCCCTCCACGGTCCACTAAGTTCCAGGGGACTATGGAACATCTCTCAAAATGTCCTATAACTGTGGTGAATCACCTGTCCTCTTGTTCAGGGAGGACATGGAGACCCCACAAGATGGACTTGAACCAGTGTCCGGTCTACAAAGAGGAGGGTCAACTCAGAGGAAACATCTCATTTGTGCTTCCAAGTGAAGCCAGACATGGTCGAGGAGGACATTTGACTTATCTTCACATAGATGGAACTAGCTCCTCCCAAGCCCATGTGACCCCCGAGGAACAGATCCTCAAATGACCTTAAGTATAAAAATAAATTGATT